TAAGCCACCTTAGTGAGAATTCAGAGGTATTCACACCAGTGCAACATCACTGCAAAACACATCCATTCAAATGCTTTTGTCATGAAGGCAGGAACATGCATTGGAGAACTGTTGGTACAAGGATTTAATCATTACTGCTTCCGTTTTGATTTTAAATCAAATACAGCAGGTGTTTCTGACTCAGAGAATTGTGACATTTTCGCCGACTTTATTCCATCAATCCCTTTTGATGAGCCGTAGAGCTCGCTGGGCAGTCACAAATATGGGAGACGTGTATTGGTTCCCAGTTGTGTCTCGCCTCCTCCTGTACAGGACCAAAATTTTGGCATTTTCCCTCGATGACTGTGCCATCCACATCAGACCAAGGGTGAATGTGGAGTGAGACTGAGTCCTGTGCTCCTGCCTGGACCATACACCAGCATCGGTTTCACGGCAGCTGGCGAAGATGCGGTCATTTCCCGTTGCCCCTGAGAAATAAAATAAAATAAAGAGAGGGGAAAAAAAAAAAAAAGGCAATTCTGCAATTTCTGTGGGTGCTCTGCTCAAACCCCTTCCAAGAGGAAAGCGGGAGATGTGGTATTGATTTTTCACTGTGCAGGTGGCTCAGGCATGTTCTCCGCACCGTTAGAACGTGAGCAGATGCTTCATAACTGTAATAGAAAAAAATCAAGGATGCTTCTCTACATCACTGACTTCCCCCAGTATTTTGGCAGAGATCGTTGGCCCAAGCAGATGTGGAAGGGAGCGAGCGGAATATGCAGTATGTCAGCATCTTGAATATTTAAAATATGGTCCACTGTGTGGCAGAAGTACTATTACTGAGGCTTCTGCTTAGCTGTTTTTTATATCCACCCGTCTCTTTTTGCCAGTGTGTGTGAGCATGGTACCCCGTTTCACACCGTTAGTAAGTGTCGAATTAAACCATACAGCACAGGTAGCTCTCATGCTGGTGCTTTGGTCGCTACTTTCCCCGGTACCCAGTGTGTTCCCGTCTCTCTTTGGGACATACTGTCATTTTTACTCTCCCTGGGGGCTCAGCTGTCTGTGGTTTCTCTATCTCCCATGCTTTTGTGTCACAGAGTGTGATTCTTCAGTGATGCTGTAGCGCAGCAGATGGATTCCAAAAGTTAAGCGGCTGAAGTGGTCTGGGTGAGCGGTGTTGTGCATGTCCCACCTTCGGCAGCCATCCCTGTCGGAGGAGGTGGTGAATTTGCCTCCAGACCCTCTGGAGACCCTTGGGGGTTACGAAGCAACATAGGTTGAAGAAGGTAGAGGTAAAAATGCCTTTCCTGTACGCAGCAAGCCCAGAGGAGCTGTGGAAGTGCCTGGCCCTTCTTCCCTCCTCTCCTTACTGGAAACCAGGCTGGAGGCAGCAGAAAATAAGTGGACGCTTCTGCAGTTTTCAGCTTCCCACATGAATTTCGTTACTCTGTCGTATGTCATGAATAAGCTGACTTACGCAAGACGTTTTACTTGCCAGAGGGTTATTTGCTGTACTTCGATGTAATAACGCTGCATTATTGCATTATTTGGAAATAATACTATTGTGTTAAGTATTTTGTATGCAAATGCCTTACGAGGAGAAAAAAAACCCATATAATCTTGATTTTTTTTACATCATCTATTCCTTTACTTCTTTGAAAATTATGTCTTGTTATAAAATCACTTCCACTAACTCGCGTTGCATCACCAGTACCCAACCACGAATACGCGTTCCTGGGAATGAGAGGGTGACAGAAACAAACACCTACTCTAATGTGTCATTAGAAATCAAACAGACCTAAAACTCGCTTCTGCGTGCCAATGCTCAGATCTTCTAAAAGTCTGTCTCCGGCAGCGAGACCAAGGATGCATCCAGATTACAGTAACTGTGCTTGCACGCAGACAAAAATATCATTGAACAATTCAAGATTATAGGTTTGCGTTGTGCCCACAAAGCTGTTTGTTTATGTATTGGATTAAAATCTTCATTTTCCACCTCTGTTTGCTCAAACAAAGTGAGTACTTAGATCAGTTAAACAGAGTTCTCCATTCATTTCCACTGGCTGTATCCTTTGTGCGTTACATCCGCTTCTGTATAAACCCGCTCTTTGTTTTGTTTTGAGGTGCTACTTAAGGTTCTATCAGGGCACGAGTGGCAATCTAGAATATCTTCAAAAGTGGGATGGATAAAATAGCAGTAATCTGATACTGACACATAAAGGTCACCGAAAGGCACCGCTGAACCCCCCCGAGCGGGGTGGGAGAAGCTGCCTTCGGAAGGGCGCGCTGCCTGAGGGGTGCGTGCCTTTGCCTCGATATAGAGGGTTGTCTTTTTCTTTTCCAAGTGTCTGTTTTTGGTAAGCTGAAGTAGTTACTCTTGCTTTGTCTAATGGCAGTGGAAGCTATACGTAGGTGTTAAGTGTGTTACGCTTAGCGTGGTGTTAGCACAGTGACCTTTTAAGTTCCCCTTTACGGTCAACACCAATCGTTCTGCTTCTTGACAGCGCTCGACTTTGACATCCTGAGCATCGTTTACAGTTTGATACTCTCTTGGTCATCCCGTCATTTTCTTTGGACACAGTACCAGGGTATCATGTCCTACATAGTTTGTCTTGTCTTGTGCAAGTTCCCTGGAAAGAGAAGAGATTTGCACTTGAATTTAAAAAATAAATACAAATCTCGGTAGGGCTCTTTCCGTTGACTTGGCCGTGGCCTTTAGGATCTCGCAGAGAAACTTTAAAAAACCCTGCTGGGGGTTTAAGCCATGTGACTCCTGTTGATATTATAATGAGATTTACAGTGCTTAAAACCCACAGGGGACTGACTCCTTATTTGGCATCACACGGCGTTTCTGCTGTCATCCTGGTGGAGGGGTAACGTGTGCGGTGTAAATTAATACATTGAAATTTTGGGGGAAAATTTGTTCTGTCAAACACACTGAAATCGTAACTCTCATATGTAGTCTTTGTGGACTTTTGTGGACTTTGATGGGGTGTTAACATGCAAGCCTACTTTCTCACCCTTTCCTGTATTCGGGGATGGAAGCAGATGATAAAACCCATTCTTTTCTGAATTATTCTTTTCTGATGTGTGTGGAGGGCCATATGCTTGTCTGGCTTGGGTGGACGGTGTTCCTTCAGCCATCTTCCCTCTTTCTCGGCTGAGGAAACGTGTGGTGTAGCATTTTTCTAATTTTCTTGCAAGGTGTGCTTTGGTCCCTGTGTTCTTTTAAAAACTTAACTGATAGAGCTTCTCCCCACTTGCACATTTCAAAAAAACTGATTAAGTTAAACCAATGTAATACTCCCTTACAGAAAAGGCCTTTGTAAGTCTCTTCACCTACAGCGGGGTTTTTTAGGAAATTACCTTCCACATATATATAGTTATGCTTGAAGAACTATTTGTAAACAGCCCAAAATAAGATTTTAATGAAGTAATGAGTTAGATTGATGTACAACTCATAATACCTTTTCCAGTCAGTCTGTACCTTTTTTGAACTTTAAAAAAAAATTAAAAATAATTTTAAAAAACCCACCTTCGATTATCTTCAGATTCTCCTTGGGCCTAAAGTCAAAAGTGGCAGAATTTGGGCCAGAATTTCTTTTGCAACTTCTTTGCATTTGGGGTGACATGTCAGGGGTTTGTTCTGCGGTGATCTTGCTATCCAGTGCATCAAAAATGATACAAGAACACAATTTTGTTATAGTACATGAGCAGATAACATTACAGAACAAGAATAAACAGCGTTTCCACATGTGTATAAAAGTAAAATGGCAAAAAGTAGGCGTTTATCCATAACGTTACCTGTAATCTGGGATAAAGTAAGTCATAAAAGCCACACCTAGATGCTGGTATGCGTTCATATCCTTTGTGTATGTTTGAAGTTCATAATACAGCACAGGCATACTGTAGCAAAAAGATTTGCTGTGAAAAATAGATACGTGTGTGAGTGTAAAATAGAGATTTCAATATTATTTTGACATTTTATTTTTAAAGTCAACTAAGGTTATGGAAATTGTTGCAAAAATAATTCCTTTACTTAAGAAGTTTCCCTGCAGAAGTTGAATAAAGAAGATATTTTAGAATATGGTTCATCAGTTAGTGCAACAGATACATTTCCCTGAGCACCACATGGCCCGGATCAAAGCGTCTCATGACTTGGATCAGTGCAGCCAAATCATTACGTATTGATTGGAATCCCGCTGAAGGATTAACCCCTTCATGCTCATATGATTTTTTTTTTTTTTCTTTAACCCTGGTTTCAGTGGTTAGAAAGCTCTGTGACGTTCCTGCCAAATCTGAGCAAGGTCAATAGCCCCCACTAACCCCTCGTACTGAGGAGTCCTTTGATTACATGGTTCCTTTTCTATGATGAGTTTTGCATTGGAAAATACGTCTTGAATGTTCTTTACTGGGACATAAGGGGGCTGTACTTGTGCAAAGAAACAGCCTGTAAGAGTTAAAAAACAAACAAACAAAAAACCAAACAAAAAACCAAACCCAACCCCCCCTGACCCAGTAAATAAATAACATGGTGGGAAAGCCAAGGCTGCAAACTCGGTGCTTTTCCTCTCTCTATAGCAATGAGGAAAGCCTCGAGTCCGGTTGTATTCTGTTACAAGAATACACTGCTGGATGGAGATGACTTTTCTTCCTGATGAAGTTGAATTGTAAATATGCAATGTTCATAAATTTCTTAGCAAAATATCAAGCAGGATATTAAGCAGGTCTGTCAAATGATTTCTCCCCCGTCCATGTTAATTTAAATTCTTTACAAAGCTTTTAATTAATGAATGAAATGTAGGAGGATAGCTAAGTAAGAATGACACATGTTTCGCTCTGCAAACGGTATTTAATTCTGTTTTGAAAAACCCTGGGCAGAGTCAGGTGGGTACCGTGCGATGTTAGGGATGTTTCAGGATCCATCCTTTGCTGCTCTTAAGAGTCTTTGTGAAGGTTAATCAGCGCGGTAACTGCAGTTACGCCACTTTTTCTCTTTTCTCTGTTCTCTCCTCCAGTTTATCCCACGAGGAGCACTCACACAGCCATCCGCTCTACGGACACGGCGTATGCAAGTGGCCAGGCTGTGAAGCAGTATGTGAAGACTTCCAGTCGTTTCTAAAGTAAGGATGGTTTTTTTGGCGCTCGCGTTGTACAGAAAGCATGCCCCCAAATTTTGTGTGCGGTCCCTCACTGTGGGCCTGATGCAAAGCCCACTGAAGGCAACAGAGACAGCTCCCTTTCACTTCCGTGGCTTTTGGATCAGGCTCAAAAACGTTTTAACAGGGGATAGTAAATTAGCCCCATGGGGAAAGTATGGTCTTGCTCAGTGTATTACTATAAAGTAGAGTGTTTGCAGTTCCGCAGCCTTTTTTTTTGGTTTGTTTCTGTAAATAATTTCAGAGTTGCAGTATTGATAATGTAAACAATACAACCTTGATTTAACCTTGATTTCACTTTAATTTAGAAATTTAGTCTTAAATTAACTCCATAATTGAACAGAGAATTGCAGAACATCACGTGAAATTTAATTTATGTCAAATAAGTAACTAATGAACAAAGTCTACACTACTAAAAATAAACTATAATTATATTAATTGGGCCCCTGCAGTTTGCTGCAGACCTTTCCTCGCTGCCAAAGAACACAGTTTTACGCGTTGCATAAACAGTGCGTTATGGACTAGTATGTGGTAATGCGTGCATCCCCATGCAGGGAAGGACCGGCAGAGCTCTAATAACTCACATGTGTCTGCTCCTCAGCTAAACCCTCAGCCTCACCCCTCCAACCTGCTGGAGAAAAAGGTGTTCCCATCACAAAAGAGTTTTCTGTCCGGGTGGATGGCCAGGTACACACATGCTTTGGGTGCACCTGGCTTCTTGGGCACTGATCTTTTCTCCAGCACTGTGGCTCTCCGGTTGTAAGATCGCAGAAGAGCAATCTCCTGAGCAATGATTGTGGTGTAAATGCACAAAGGGACAAGTTCTGCTCCCATTTACGGTCGTGGTCTCATGAAGTTAGTCCACATACAAACATACATGGGATTCTTCAGGGGGATGGATAAGTAGTAGTCCCAAAACATCCAGCTGTATCTGTTCTTCCCGGGGCAATTCCCTGGATGTGAAGGAGAGAAGGGCGACAGCAAGCAGAGGATGTTTGTTGGATCACATCAGATGATACAGATAGTTTTTTGCTCTCAGAACAGAGTGGGACAATTCTGCTTCCACTAGTGAAACCCTCCTGAGCTCAGTAGGACCCACGCTGGTCCTGGCATAAACCTATGTTACAAGTAAGGGTGGTACAGTGATGAGAAGGTTCTCATTACAAGAGGATTACAAAATAAGAAGGTGCTAGTCATAAATTTCCATGAAGGGTGGCCTCGTTTCTCTTAATTCATTCTGTTGTTCACTTAAGTGAAATAAATGCTAATCTTTCCATACTTTCCAGCTCATTCATATTCATATGCCATACTATAGCATTTAGACCTTTAAAACAATTCTAATTTTTATTGCACTTAATGCAAGGGAATGGTGCTGTGGCAGCCTTAGATATCGGAATAATGTGTGTAGTCACAAAAGGTCGGATTGTGCCACCTTTGTTTCTTGTGATAGTCCCCTCTTCCAGATTAGATCTGTTGGTTTCAGGAAGATTTCTCACAGAGCAGTGGACTGCTTGATGTGACCACGCGTAGAAAATACAGCCCTTCAGTCACGTGGCACGGGTGGAGACAAGGCTGATTTTTAGATGGTAATTTGGAGATGTTTCAGTCAGTAGACCAAGTCCACCAGTTCCCCTGGAGGAGGTACTTGGGGCAATCAGTAGGTAGGGATAACCTGAAAACAGATGGACCTGAAGTGGCTCCACCTCCGCGCAGCTCCAGCAGTTCTGGTTCTTTTGTCACTCACCTATTGTCAATCTTTTCTTTTTTTCCTCTGTTGAAACCTTTCAACAGGAATACTTTGTGTGACTTCCTTAAACCCATTGGCTCGTGTAAATTTTCTCATTATCCAAATTCTACAGTGTCCAGACCAAGTCTTACTGTTCGGAGTGATACTTAACCCAGAACGAATGCAGAAATGAATGTCCCCGAGCAGCATATTGACACTGTTAGGAAGCGAGCGTTGCTTCATAAAACGATACCGTAGCCTTCCACGTCTCCTGTGGAGCGTCCGTCCTTAAATTATATTGCCATTTATCAGAAATTGATTGCTCAATGAAAAGATAACAGGTAGATGCTTGAAGTTTCTTTCTGGTACTTGTATAATCTGTGAAGCTCTTTCGACAGTCCCCTCAAGAGAAAAGCTCTTGTTTACCAAGTGAAGTACAGCCTGTGTATCAATTGAGCATTGCTTAATTTCACTTACCTCGGTAAAAAGGCCCGGTAGAAAAAGCAAAGAGAAGTTACATGTGGAATGAAAGCCCCGTACGCCAATAAAATGATTCTGCAGTTAAGGGAGAAAAAAGGACTCGCAGGTCTAAAACATGGTTCATTTCTTTTCCTCCTGAGGAAGGAATATCATAACTGTTGGTAAATCAAAACCAGAGATTTGACACTCTTCTGTGATCGTTCTGTAGTGTTTGTTCCCAAGGTGAGGTACACCACAGGGCCCTTGATTTCAAAGATAAATACTGTACAAATAACGATCCTAGTTGTCTTTCACTCACAGCCAACAGGAGGATGCTTATCAGAACCGGCAGATACATGGGCTATTGTACGCATTTATTTCCCTATTTCTTTTTGAAATAAGTTGCAGTTTTAGCATTGTTGGTGGGTTGTTGTTTGTGTCTTTTTTTTAAAATCCATCAGCCATTGGTTATCACGGGATGCAGTCTCAGTTAGAGCTGACCGATAGCGGCGGGGGCTGCTGCTGTGCCCAATGGAACAGGAGCGCCCCGCGTGCTCCGCAATACTCCCAAAAAACCAAAAACCAAGTCCGGTCTCGCCACGGTGACCTGGTGGCCCTCTGTCCCGGGGAGGGCTGGAGGGTGCACACGTGTCTCGCCTCTCAACCAGGGCCGGTCTCAGGGGCGGCCGCGAAAGGAGCAATTAGTAGCGCAGGCCGCCTTTCCTTCAGAATTGAGGATAGCCTTGATTTCATTTGCATGTGTTTAAAGAGCGTTGCAGGTAGAAATACGTACCCCTTATACGGCAACTCGTTCAGGAAATCCCTGCTGGAGGGAGGGCGGTTTATTCGGCGAGGTGTCGAGGCATCCAGGGCAAAAAAACAGAGGAGAAGTTTGATGGTTTTATCCCTCCCTCCCCCCCTTTTTTTTTTTTTTTTAAATTTTATTGGGTTTTAAATGTGCTTAATCATGGCTGTACCATTTTAAAATGAAATATCTTCTTTAAAAGAGGGGCGCAGACTTTGGGAGAGATCTTGCAATCCTATATTGCAGTGATGCCAGTAATCTGCTTCATGTGCATTTAACTTTGATGAAACGAAGGGGAGTTTATGTGAAAGAAACTACTAAGTGCACTCTGTAATGTTTTCACAAGTGTTTTTATCATGGTAACATCTTGTTTACTTTAGTTGCCTGCCTAAAACTACTTGGAACATGTTAAGAAAACATTTCGGGAAAGCTTCTACAAAGAGGCTTTTGTTTAGCAGCAACTGTGAGACTGCTCAGCTCACAAAGGTGTTAACTTTCAACCCCTTAAGCACTTCCACATGAAATTCCAGCAACTGTGTTTGTGGTTTTGGAAAAACAAAGTGTATATTAAAGAAACCAGGTATATGCTAATACATGTTGAAGAAGGCCGGAAATCATAAATTGTTTCAAAGGCATTAATTGCTATCATTTGCATGTCAAAATGTTCTGCAGTGAAATCATCTGCAGTTAGCACAACACAGACTTTTTAATCAAATAGGTGGCAAGGGCAGAGGAAAGGCTAGTCTATAGATATCTTTTTTAGATTTTTTTTTAGATTTTTTTTTTTTTTAATTCCTAGCGGGCCCAATTAACCTCCCTGGCTCTCCAGCATCACTGGGCGAGGGGATGCACGGACAGCCGGGACACCCATCCCGCTGCCGGGGGATACAAACAAACATTTTTAATTCATTTAATTTTATTTTTTATTTTTTTTTTTTTTTACCCAGCCTGCCACGTATTTGGAATTACCGTTCAAATGTCGAAGTTGCCGTTTTCTTTTACAACCAACCTCCTGATGAACCTCCCGGCCGTGGCGGGGGCGGTGGGGACCACTGCGGGGCCGCCCAAATCCCACAGTGCCCTCTAGTGCTCCCGGGATGCTGCCGGGGACAGCCCGGACCCCGAGAAGCATCCCTCACACAGCAAGCCACCCCCTACCACCTCGCCTTAATTTTTAGTGTGTACACCCCTATCTAAATTTTTTTTTTTTCTCTCGCATTCGGCTTCATCCGGGAAAACATCTCAAACACCCGCCCGCCGCGGGCGGCGAAGTATTTTTGCGCCTGGTGTGTTACGTAGCGAGGCACATTGTCTTGCGTTATTGCGTTTTATATCTTAAGGTGCTCTTAGTTTATGTTTCACATTATAATTTCCGGTGTGTAATCAGAAAGCATTACTTAAGAGACAAGGATCATCTTTGTTTCATACTTTTATTGACACTGTCTACCATATTACTGCGATGTCTAAATGGTAAAATTTATTATTAGCAATAGTGTCACAAAAGTCTGAGACAGCGATTTTCCTTTCAATAAAAGTAGTTAAAAACCTTTTAGAAAATCCATAATTTTGATTGCCGGTACTTCATAAATGTATAACTGGTACTTTTTAGCTGTCTCTTTAGGGAAAAATGAGTTTTATCACCTGCGGTACCTGGGTTAATGAAATTGTGTGTTGGAATTTAGCCAGAATGAAAGATGAGATCATTCGGTGGCACTAATATTGGCAACAGGTCTCATAAAAAGGTTCGACTCTTTTCAGAGAAGTATCATTAAGTTGGTGGGGTTTTTTTTTCCTTTTTTTTTTTTGAGGATGGGGGTGAGATTCGAGTTAGTTGTCATTTTTGAAGTTTCTGTGGTTCTTACATTTTCA